GGATTTGGGGAAATGTCAATTTTTCTGAATCTCAGATTCTTTGTTTTTAAAATAGAGTGATTTAGTTTGAGTCTGCAGTGGACATGCAAAGCAGAGCCTGAATGAAGGACTGGGATGAAGGTAGCTTGTTAGGGGGAAGGTGGCAAGAGTGATCTCAGCAAGCAGAAATACAGAAAGATAGAAAGTAAGGCAGATTTAAGAAATCGTAACCAATATGGTGTGTTATGAAGCTGGTTATTATGTGGATAATTGAGAATCAATCAATCTAAAAAAAAAAACTATATAAAATGCACTCAGAATTATCCCTCTGAAAGGTGGAGTCTGAGACATTTCTCTAAACCCTCATCCCTGGGGGGGGGGGGGCGGTTAAGGACTGTCCCAGAGGATGCTAATTTCCTCTGGGAAAAAGGAATTTGCCCAACAAATTCTTCACTGCAGCTGTGGCTGCTTTCAGAAGTGGGTCACAGATGTGTCATGAGGCACAAAAGGTAGTTGCTTGGGCTGGGATGTTCAAGTGGTAGCGCACTCACCTGGCATGTGCGGGGCACTGGGTTCGATCCTCAGCATCACGTAAAAATAAAATAAAGATATTGTGCCCACCGATAAATAAATAAATAAATAAATAAATAAATAAATAAATGGTAGCTGTTTCAGGAGATAAATAAAGTCCATGTCACATTGTGAGGATTCCATGTATGTTGTCCACAGTATTCAGCATTGTGCCTGGCACATAGCTAAGTACTCAGTAAGTATTTATTGTTGCTGGTACAACAAAGTGATCATTGTACTTTGATGAGTGACAGAGACTGGGGTAAATGCGTAGCTTAGAAGTTTCCAGGAAGGACATATAATTCATAGCCTATATGACTTACCATGGCCCAAGGCCAATTGTGATTGTTATGGATTATTGTAGCACAATTATCCCACGGTATTGGAGGAGGATTGGTTCCAGGACCCCCTGCAGATTCCACAATCTTTGGATACTCCAGTTCCTTATATAAGGAACATAGTATTTGTGGAAAACCTACAAGCATCCTTTCTTATAGTTAAATCATAACTAGATTACTTATAATAGCTAACACAATGTTAATGCTTTGTAAATATTTATTATACTGTATTGTTTAGGGAATAATGAGAAGAAACAAGTCTTCTTTATATGTCCATTACAGATGCAAATTTTCCCCCAAATATTTTCAATATGCTATTGGTTGAATTTGCAGATGTGGAAATCACAGGACAGCCACTGTATTTTTACCTTTTTGCTCTTCCTTTGTGTGTTGTGTGTGTGTGTGTGTGTGTGGTTTGTCAAATTTGAGCACAAGGAGAAGGTGTATTCTGTCAGTTGTTTGGGGTAGAAAAAATATTGCTAACCGTTGCTGTAGATCAGCACTGTCCAGTAGAATTTCTGCAATGATGGAAATATTCTGTATCCATGCTATTCAATACAGTGGCTGCTAGCCACATGTTGCTATGGGGCATTTTAACAGCCGAGGAACTGAATTTTTAATTTTAAGGAAATCTAGTTAATTTATATCGAATTAAATGGCTACATGCAGACACAGTGAAGGACAATTACTAATGGTGTACTTAGTGGGTAGTGGAAGGATCTTTCTCTGGGGCTAAATTTAAACAAACTCAGATAGCAATGTCTGGATAGGCTGGGGGCCACAAGATCTCATCCCAGGCTGGGAAGTGGTTGGTGTATCACTGAGGCCAAGGGATTGTTGGATAAGAGAACATCTGTATTGCCATATGGGGAGGGGACATGGAACTCGAGCAGGTTGCGGGAGGGGGCTACAATCTCTCCTCATCTTTGCTCCACTGTTCTGTGCACAGTCGCAAGCAGGACACTTTAATTCTCAGCTGCCTGAGACTGGAGGATGATTAAAGGAATACTTATCTAACTGGCATTCTCTATTCCCTAGAAGGCTACAGATTACCTAAAAGAATTACCAATTCTTGTATAGTGGGCCATTAATACCGAAATCACCTCCACTGGCTGGTAATCCACCGTTGCTCCCCGCTTGGCTTCCCATATCCTAGAATTTATCACTTTGGTCATTGACAATTTACTTGTATGCTTCCTCCATTAAACTACAAACTCTACAAAAGAGGCATCATGTTGTCTGCCCTCACACAATGCCTCAACCACAGTAAAATACCAACTGGTTTGGAGGTGATAATAAGGGCAACAGGAGTGAAGAGAGGAAAGTGATTAGTATTCCCTGGAATCATTCATAGACAACACGAGATTCAATCCAGGGAAGATCAAGCTGCTCAAGGAGTTGTGTAATGACATTTCAGAGGGGCTAACCTCATGTAAAAGGGTGAAGGTAGATAAAATCTCAGGGCAGTGAGGGAGACAGATGAGCCAGAAGAGACAGTAGGAAAAAAGAAGAGGATTAGCAGAGTGGAACCTGACTCTCTGGAAACTTGAGAGTCAGGCAGTCGTGTGAGGACCAAGTTTGGTAGACAGGATCACCATGAAGCAGAGCACTTTGGGTTTCTGAGTGTGGTAACATGGATAAGTCTGGTAAGGACTTCAGGTTTCTTAGACCAGCATTCTACCTTATGTGGCCTTAGTGACTCTCTCTCTATTCCCATGGTGGGTATGTGAACCAGATCCAGCCAGTAAGAGTTTGAGGAAGTATTCTAGGGATATGAGCAGGGGATTTTGCCAGGGCTATCATGTTCTTTTTTTTTTCCTGTGATAGCTAAACTGATGAGATGTCAGCCTGGAGCTGCTGACAGTATCGTGATGCTGTAGGGAAAGATCTGAGAAGTAAACCAACACAGAGGGAAGCAGAGTCAAGGGATGAGAGGGTCCTCTGAAGACATCAGCTGAGCACCTGGATCCAGCTGGACTTGAAGTAGGTCCTATTTCTGGGCTCTTCAGGCATCAGGCATTTGCGGTGAGGTTCCTGTCTCTGGCAACCCGGGAAGCCCTAGTGAGTGAATGAACACTCGGGCACATAGGGTGGCTGAGAGTGCAGGAGATGAGAGTCAAGAGTGGCCACACCAGCTGGTAAGGCAGGAATTCTGACAAGAGGCAGTGAGGGTCTGAACCCAGGACTTGGGGACTAGAGGGAGGCAAGTCAAAACACGAGAAGGAAGAATTTGTATTTTCCTCCCTTCAAGGGTGAGTGGAAGTGATTCTTTTTCATGATCCTCTTTTTCATTTCAAGAATTACCTGGGACGCTTCTTTAAAAGGCAGAACCTGAACCCTCCTCCCAGCAACCTCTACTAATTCAGAATATCTGGCAATGACTCTTAAGAGTATAAATTCTGTTGCATATTAGGGGTCTGAGGACCCCTAACTTAAATACTTAGGACAACCAGCTTTTCATAAGACCTAACAAAGAAGGCACAAACAAATAGTAAACACACTCTTTTTTCCCCACAGTGCAGTAAATGACTTCCTGAGAGTGAACATGTAACCATGAGTGAAAATCCAGCCAGGCCTGCATCTGACTGCATGTTTGACTTGTTCACTTTAATTTGGGTTCAACTTTGTGAGACAAATGAATCAGACATTCTTGTCCCTATTTTATAGCATGGTGAGATGAGAGATGAAAGGATTGGCCTGAGGTTACAGGGGAATTCTGGAGCCTAGATCTGATTCCCGGGCTCATGCCAAATCAGCTATTGCTTGGATATGGTATGAGTTGAGGTCACCAGGTGCTGTCTTTCTGCACTTTAGGGTAGAGCTGCATGTCCTCCCTCAGCTTATCTTATTGACCTGAAGAAATAGTAGGAGTTCTCACTGAGGAAAAGCCTGGGAGCCCATGGCCCCCTTCATTAAAATAAATTCTGCCTAAGTCTCCTGATTCTAAATAGAAGAAAATGTAGATTTGGGGCAGAACCGAAGGGAAAGGGATTTCCCTTGGCAAATTATTTGCAATTTGTGGATTGGAACTGACCCAGCTCCAATTCCCTCTGTCATTGTGAACGCTGTCTAAAATGTGACCAGCTTATTAAAGAATGAGAGCTGGAGGCAGGTCTCCCACAGGGGCTCCAGGAAACAGGAACAGAGCTAAAACCCACTGGCATCCTCTTCCCAGTGTCTCAGATGCAGGCCTGGCTGGGTTTTCACCCATGGTTATGTGTTCACTCTCAGGAAGTCATTTACTGCACTGTGGGGAAAAGAGTGAGTGTGTTTATTATTTGTTTGTGCCTTCTTTGTTAGGTCTTATGAAAAGCTAGATGTCCTAAGTACTTAAGTTAGGGGTCCTCAGACCCCTAACATGCAACAGAATTTATACTCTTAAGAGTCATTGCCAGATATTCTGAATTAGTAGAGGTTGCTGGGGTCGGGGGGTGGGTGGTGGAGTTCAGGTTCTGCCTTTTAAAGAAGCATCCCAGGTAATTCTGAAGCAGGTGGTCTGTGGACCACTGTCTAAGATATTGTGATATCCATGGAGCACTGGTGCACTCTGCCAAGTGGCCCCTTCATCCATGGTTTAAAGATGCTGCTGTTGCTGGCACTGGATCTAGGAGGTCCAGTGTTTCTTTCTTTACTAAAGGGGTCTATTACTCACTGGCATTATTTGAGGGACATTAGGAAGGTTTTTCTGGACCAAGAAGATCTTCCAGGAGTTGCTGCTACAGTCTTAAGGATTTATCTTCTCCAGTACACCTTTTAATTAATGGGTAGTTTACAGAGTATAGCACTTTTTGTTAAAAAAAATAATAATAAAGGAAAGATATCTCTCTTGGTATACCCAGAGCTCATCTGTGTGCATGGTCCAGCCTGCCAGAGTCCTGGACTCTTTCCCCACCCCCATCTTTCTTTGTTCCCAGTGGCTCTAAGATGTAGAGAACAAGGCTTTTAAGGAGTCCCAGGTGAGTTTTCCCTTCTTTAGGACCTATGTTAACAAAGAAGGCAAATTAATGGATTTGTATTTCCTTATCATCTGTATTTCCTTTTTAAATTAACCAGGAATCGATCGATGGGAAGGTGGCCCTCAGACCTTCACAATGAAATTGACTCCAAATGAAATGAATCTGAAAATTCCATTTATTAAAACAAATACATTGTCAATGTGGGATGAAAATGTACACATCACATTCAGGTTTTCCTGTTTTAACACTTCTGTATTTCCCTCTCTTTGAATGACACATTCTATAGATCTTATGTAGGAAAAAATGTGAACAATCCTTGGGCTATGAAACAGTAATGTATATGTAACAATCCACCATTTCCAGGAGCAGCTAGAAGCAAATATTAAGAAAAAATAAATAAAACCCCTCTAAGAGAGCATACTTGATTTTCTCAGAATTCCTTACATGAATATGAGTGTATGGAGAAATTTTTTTATTGTTGGATTTTTTTCTTGTTAGGCAATCTCTTTCCAATATTACTAGCAGAATCAGACTCAGATCAAAGCATTTATTTTAAATCTTTGATTTAAATTAAATAGTACTTCATTTCAAATAAAATATCAAAATTTAAACTGGAGTTAGTATTGAGAATGATGCAAATTGTTTTTTTTTTCTTTTAGAGAGCTTGCATTCTAAACATGAAGTCTACTATTAGTATTTATGAACTAATTCCATGGAAGATTTCTTTATTATACAGGTAGATAGAAATTAGGGCCTTAAATAATTAAGCTGAATTTTTCTATTATCCTTAAGATAAAATTATGCTGGTGAAAATGATTGTTGAATTTCTAAAGGAATTAAGCTCTTTAGAGGCCCTATGTAATCAAAAAACTAATTTCCCCTTAATAAATACAAATACCAATAAACCAAAACTCATATAAAGGTTCTGGTATTATAACTACATAAAGACATGAAATTATGAAAAAAGCCGAAACATTTTCCTTAAACTTAATTTCAGACGCTATGTATTTTCTGCCTTCTCTCTCCTTTTATAGGCACAGTCACATATAGTTTGGAACCTCCTTAACTTTTCATTGCCAGATCTATACTAAGGTGCTTCCTAGAAATTTTAATTGCTCCAAAGATCTAAATTTACATGGAAATAACAAGAGTCCTTCTTAGAGAAAGAACTGGTATGGATTGTGGAAATGATCTGGGCCTTCTAATGATGCTTCCAACACCCCCAAAGAGTGCTTTGCTCAGTTGTTTTCATATAACTATATCTTCAATTCACATTTTAGCTTGCCTTAAAAGTGTGATTCAGTTTTAGCTGATTTCACAGTACCCCTAATCTCATTGTATAATACTGCAGTTCAATAAACACTCTGCCAGATTTTTTTTTCACTTTTCAATCTTCATTGGAATCCCACTGACTATAATAAAATCCCAAGATTTGATCAGAAGTTTCTAGTTACAGAAATAGGTTCATTCATTTTGTGAATATTTCAGTATCCTCTTCTTCCCATCCCAGGCATAAGCTTTAATTGGACATTTTAATTCTTTTACTAGCATGCCCAGAAAGGAGCTAGCGAAAATGTTTACCAAGTCTGTTTCAATCCTTGGTGTGGTATTTTTATCTTCTTTTTTCTCCCTCTTAGTAATTTTTTTTTTTTTTTAAATAGGAGAATGGTGAGGAAAGAGAGGAGAATAACTATTTTGGAATTAATGATCTTTTGGGACTTGGAAGCATACACGATGTAAGAGAGGCCCTCTCTGGCTGGGAATGACACAGAAAAAAAAAAAAAAAAGTGACAGAGGCTTCCAGGGTCTGTCATTACTGATGGAACTACAGCAGCAATGAAAAATCACTCCCAATATCTTATCTTGCAAAGAGGGAGCTCTAGCTGCAAGGAAGTTGTAAATAAAGACTTAGAGACTTTAACAAACAAGGTAGAGAACCAAAAACAAAGGTTTCTTTGAAAACTTAGTGAAAATTGAAAACCAGCACAGTGGAAAAAAGAGCCAGACCCTTTCCTGGTGGAACCAGCTCTGGGGACCATGCCTGCTGCACAAAGAGTGGGCTTCAGGGTCCTTCTCCCTGGTGGGTGAAAGGCTGGTGTTTCGAGAAAGGATCACCCTCTGTGGAGCTCTTGGCTCATTTCTGATACTTTAATGAAGGAGGGCCATGGATTTCTTGTTAAGCATGCAAAAAGCATTCTTTCAGTCTGGAATTTTTATAATTCAGGAGAAGAGGAAACGCTCACCCTCTAGTAAAAGCACCTTCCAACTCATAGTGAATCCCTCACGGTGCTGCTTGGGGTATCTGTGCTGCCCTGGATCCTGGATAAATCAAAACGCTTTGGATTCTGAAAAATATATTACAGAGGCGCTTGTTCCACTGTTCACTAGGAGGTATTTTAGGCATGGCTAAGGCTCTGAAGTAATGTCAATTTTCAGAAGACTGAGGTTTCTCCTCCTCAGCATCTTCTCTTTCTCTCTCTCTCTCATTTCTTTTCCTAACTTTATAGTAAAACAACAAAACTTCTGAATGGATGTAACATAGGGATGTTTTCATGCAATATTACTCAAAAATTGTCACAAAGATAAGAAAGCACCAGTCACAACACATGGTTTACTTGCAGAATCAAAGCTATCATGTACAAATATTAGGAATAGTGATAAGAGAACACAGACAACCGGCTTTTTGTTGTTGTTATTACCATGAGAATATACCACAAGGAACATCTCCCTAGACATTTTGGGTGCTCATTCTTGGAGTTCAGTCTTACAGAGAAGTCCAGCCTTATCTTCATACTACTCTAAGGGGAGGGGTGTGTGGAGGAGAGAAGGAAAACAGAAAAAGGCACAAAGACTAAACATCGATGCCATTAAACCGAACTGCGGCTACACTGGACAACTCGGTTTATCAAAGGGAATTCTAATGACAATATTCATTCCGAGAAGGTCATACACAGCTTAGTACAGCTGTCTGTTTTAACATTTATATATATATTTTAAATATGAAGCAGAAACGTAAGGGCTTGGGGGAGGGTAGCAGAAAAGAAGTGACACCAATTTTATTTTTATACATTCCCTCCTCCAGGCAGGTCTGCAGAATCAGATCTCTTTTAAGTCAGGATCCGCTTTCATTCTCATCAAGGGGACCAGTTCATTAAACATGCACAGCCTGGAGTTTCCAGGATGGTTCTCCTCCCTCTCCTTAAATGTTGTGGACAAGAAAGGTGCCCACTTTGCTAGAAACTCTACGGCAATGTCCCGGGAGCCCTGAGGCTCTTCAGCCTCCTCCTGGAGACTTTAAAGGATGGCGCAGAAGAACTTCTTCTCCCGAAATGGATTTTCTGAGGCCGGGACAGGTGTCAGCAGGGGATCTTCCTTGGCATGAGCCTCACAGTAGGCCATCAAGTCTGCAGCTGCCTTGGAGACCTGGAGGGAAAAGAGAAATAACCAGAACTGTGGGGGCAGTTTGGTGCAGTCAAGGCCCAGCTCTGGGGTCTAATGGCTTGGCTCCAATCCTCATTCCACCACTAGTGTGCAAGTGCAGCAGACATTCAACCTCCATAGTAAGGGAGTCAATGATGTTGACTGCAAAGGATTACCACGAATAGATATTGGGGCTAGGGTTAGGTGAGAGGGTCACTTAGGGCCCAAAAGTGAAGGAGGCACTCACTGTCCGGGTCATGCTGGTATCAACCCTGCACTGGTCCAGCCCTGAGAGGGCAAGTTGGCTTCAACTGTATACCCAACATACCTCATTTGTGCCACTCTAGTCCCATCCCTGATTGCAAGGATTAAATAAATGAGATAATCCATACAAGTCATTTAGTAAGAGTTCCACACAAGCTAGCTCTTGTTATCTTTCTGTAGCTGTGATTCTCTGCTTCAGAAATGGTGCTGCAGAGGCTGTTGACGCCCCCTCTTCAACTGAACACACCAGGAGGCATATATGAGTATGTGTGAATCATCTGAACACACAAACAGAAGGTTACAGAGTGCAGGAGTATATATACATATTGCAATATGACACCTATGACTTCAGCCAAGCCTTGTACCTTTGAGGGATGCTTCATTGGTAGACTGTCACTGATTTGGGTAATGCTATCCTTTCTCACACTTTCACAGCTTGTTGTCAGGAGTTGTCTGTAGTACCTTCCTTTGGCAGTGGCAAATTTTCACTACTTAAGGGGATAGATTTAATTTTGAGAAACTAACATATCAGGGGGTGAGTCAGGTGACCAATCAGAAAAATGCCATGTGGGGGTCAAGAGTCAATTTCTTTATGACATAATACACTTGCTCTGAGCATCACTCCAAAAGACTTTTCCACATGAGAATAACACCACTGTTCTTCTATAAGTGTCCCAAAGCTACTTCTGAAAGCATAATCCTCTGGAAGAATTAGGTAGATATATTATTGCTAAAAATATTCACTGCCCCTCCCAAGGGGTGGGGTATACAAATCTCTACAATGACCTCAGTTGGCCATGTCACTCATGACTTGCTCTAGCCAATGAGATGTGAGTAGAATTGCCATAGAAGGATTTGGGGCAGAAGCCTCAGGAGTCCATGTATAATTTGTCATATCCTTTTTCCTTTGCCACTTTGTCCAACTGAAATAGTTAACTAGGAAAGCCCTTCATTGATTCAGAGGTTTCAAGGAGTAGCATAGTGGCCACACCCTTGAATTTTGTTCCTTGCCTAGGACTAAGTTGATTAGACCTCTCATTGCTTAAAGGAAGGTCAGTTTTACTATTTCCTGGTTGAGCGTGAAAATCAGTTTCATCCTCTCATCCTATAAATCTTTAAAGTTTTGGATTTTCTGTTCCCATTCGCACAGAATGCACAAAGGCACTGTTCCTGTTAGAAGGTGCTCAGATGCCAGAGTTCTTGATAAATGTGACATGGTAGGGGAGCAGCAGCAGATCGGTTTTTTTTAAGATCTCACAGTGGCTCTATAATCATAACTTACCTTGTTCCTAACATTGGATTAAATTTTCTCTTTTGATCTGAGGTAGGACTGAGATGTATATCTTTGCTATTATAAGCTCCAATGAATGGAGGCAGGGGACAATTTCTTACTACCATGGAATTAGCCTACCTCACTGATGCAATGAGGCATAGGTATTGTTATGGGTATTAATTTCCTCTGGTTATCTGAACAGATCACCAAAACCTTAGTGGCTTAAAACAACAAAACATTGGTTCTCTCCTAGTACTAGAAACCAAGGTGTCAGTAGAGCTGGTCCCTATTAAGAGACTGCAGGAGAATCTGTTCCAGGCCTCTCTCCTAGCACCTGGTTGCCAGCAACTGTGCAAACCATTTGTAGCACTGTCACTCCAGTCTTTGTCTTGGTCTTCACATGGCATTTTCTCCTGGGCTCCTCTGTCTATACCTGTTATTCTCGTCTGTGCAAATTTCCCATCTCATCAGTCATTGCATTAGGGTCCACCCTAATCCAGTGTGACCCTCTCTTGACTTGACTATATCTACAAATTCCTTATTTTCAAATAATTTCACATTCTAAGATTCTGGGTGGGCCTGAATTTGAGGGGAAACTATTCAGTCTAATATAGTATATTGGTGCAAAAATTATGCTTGTTCTTTAGGACATTGCAGCATTAAAAAAAAAAGTTTATTGTATTTTGTTTTAGAAATTGAGTTAAATTTTCTCTTGTATCTCACAACAATTCTGAAGGAATTATCCACCTTTTATAGATGAAAACTTGAGTTGTTCAATGGCATACAGCAAAGCACATGTCAGAAAAAGAACTTGAACCCTGATATTTTTGCCTTAAGCCACAACTATCTGCATATAAACTACTGTACTGTTATATGTAGACATCTCAAAAGTGTGGCTTGTTTCAAAGGTTGAAACTGAAATTTGTTTTGCACCTTTACAAAATGCTATCATAGCAAAATGAAAGGAAATAGTCTATTTTTGTGTTAGCTCCTCTGAATGAAAGCAAAGGTCAGACTTTCAGACTGAATCATGACCACTTTATTTCATGTCTTAGCAATACTCATTATTGTACCACATAGCAGCTTAGCCGGTAAGCAGCAGAGACTGTAAAATAGTAATTTCGAAAACTCTCCTGCTAAGGAGAGATCCAGCGTTGTCTATTCCTACTCATTTGTAGCACTCATATGCAAAGATGTGGTGTGAATTTTTGAAATCCCCTTTCATTCCACAGAAAACACTATCCTGTGCCAAATAAGTAATTTGAGTCTCTTCTATTTGAACAACTGAATTCTGAATAGTTTGCTTCTCAAAGCATATTATGTGTTTTATCTTGTTTCTGTGACTAGATTGCAACCTCCTGTGGATGATGGTCCACAGGACCATTGTCAGAATGTCAGAATCCTAGTAGTAACTGGAATAATTATAATATTCGTAGCCCTTGCTATGTGTCAGAACTGTGCAAACCACATCACATACAATATCCAGTTTAATCTGTACAACAACATGAGTAAAATATGATCATCTTGAATATGTGAAGCTTAGGCTTTGTCAGATCAGTGTTTGCCCAGGTTTTGGCTCAGAAGCAGCCTGCTGTGAGTCTCAGTGTTCCTGACTTCATCTTTATGAACACTCCTCCTTTCTAACCTGGGCTATCATCCTCACACTTTATCTTACAATAACTCACAGCAATATTTTCCCTAACAGATCTCTTGCTTTCTACCTATTCCTGCTAACATTTTGCACATAGTCATCTTTTATATTCCTAGGCCTAGTTCTTCCATTGGGATTTCCCCCAAAACTCTAGAAAACCTTTTCTGTCCTGTTGACTCTTCCTCTAAAAATACCTCAAATTTGGCCCCTCACTATTGTTTCTACTGCAACTCCCTAATTCAAGTCTCCATCTTCTTTCTCCATGATTACTAATCTCTTAAATAAAAAGTGATTAACCTGGGTTCCCCATTGGGTCCATGGATAGAATTCTAGAAGAAACCACTGCAGTCAAATAATAAAAATTAATAACACTAGCAAGTACCTATCTGAAACCACATTCCACTGATAAAATACTCTGAATACCCACTGGTTCTATATTAACACCAAAGTTTTGTTTCCTGAATTTAATTATAGAGAAATACCACAGAAATCCAAACTGAGTGACATTTTACAAAATAAATGGACTATAATCTTCAAAAATGTCAGAGTCATGACACTGACATGGGACTGTCAGACAGGATAATTAAATGTAACACATAATTCTGAACTGAATCCTTTTGCTAACAGGGACAGTACTGGGAAGATTTGCAATACTTAAACAGGGTCTCAGAATTAGAAGGTAGTAACGTATCGGTGTTAATTTTCTGATTCTAATGACTGCATTATGATTGTGTAGAAAAATGTTTTCACTTGTAGGGAAAGGCACATGAAAGTTTTTGGAGGTGATAAGGCATCTTTTCACATCTTCTCAAATGATTCAGGGAAAAGGAAATTCTTTGCCCTGTACTTGTGATTCTTCTGTAACTTAGAGATTATTTGTAGAAAAAACCCCCAAACTTTCCAAAAGGGCAAAGAGAAATCAGAGACAGTGAATAAAGACAACTTTTTCACAGTTAGAAAGGCAAGCTGACAAATGCAATAGTGGATGGGAGGAAAAGTGGATAGGTCAAGACAAAAACTTTACTTAAGATGAAGCAATAATGCTATGTTTATACGCTGATGTCAATGAAGAAGTAGAGAACCAAAAACTGATGACGCTGGATGAGCAAGGGGTGGATATGGAAGGCCGGCAAAGTGTTGGAGCAGTTTCTTTGGTTCAGGAGACCCAGGTTCTGATGCACAAAGGAAGGAATTCACTTTTGACCTTCCCAGATTGACAACTGTTGAAAACCAGTCATTCAGAGATCTTTCCAAACTAGAACCAGGGAGTAAGCGGTGGGGGACTCTAGACAGACCCTAGAAAAGGCACCAGAACATGACTATGGGCTCTGAAAAAAATAAGAACCAACTCTAGGCAGACACCTTGACAGTTCTGAAAAGTCAGGATAAAAACTGGACCTCCCCCAATTTAAATGGAATGTAAAGATACAGCTCCATTCATTACATCTGGGAATTGAGACACATTTTTTAAAGTGATGTCACAAAATGTGTGCAAGCCATCAAGCAAAGACATGAACACTGAGGAGTTTCCAATGGCCTGTGCACAGGGAAGTTAGGTGTGTGTAAGGGTGCCAGTCATAAAATCACCCTTTCAGTTGGGGTGCTTGTTCATGGAACCATCCAGGGTTGACTTGACTTTAAGTGTTGCTTAAAAGGACTTCAAAGATTACACTGGATGGAGGCTTGCAATGGAAATGCATAAAGAAAAAATACATCATCTTTCTCCTGCTCTACACCCAAACTGTTGTCAACTCATCTCTTCTGACAACAGATATGTAACCCATATTCCCCACACCAAGAAATTCTCTGACATCA